AAAGGTATCTATAGAATATAATTTTCTTAAATGGTATTTATTTAAAATAAATAAGGTGTTAACCTTTGATATAGGAGGTAAAAATTCCAATTAATAAAGTAAAATAAGTTAGACAGTGTAAAAGAGTTTAACCATATGTACAGGTTAATTTTTACCCTATTTTCTTGGTTACTAATCAAACTTATCACAACTTAAATGAACTTTGAACAAATAATTACTCCACACATCTATTAGTTTAGTTCATTTTAATCCGCTCAAATTTAGACAAACTTTATTCATCTGATCCCATTTGATCGAAGTAGCAAATAGATTTCACAATGTGTCAATTAAGTTATATGATGTTAGCTCTAAGTGTGAGATCTTATCGAAGCACTTTATTTCATTTGATTAATCATGTTTATTCCATAGGCGAATCTACCATTAGGTAGGGGAGCCACTAGCCCCTATATATATATATCTTAAGTAACATCATTTGTTTTGATTCATCCTAAACTTGATGCTTAGTCAGTTGCATTGCTCAATTTGGGGGCACATCTTAACTTTTAATATTCATTCTTGGTTCAATTTTCTGTTTCAGCATATGCTCAAATTTTTATTCGATAGCGATGTTCCTTCTACTTTCAAATCCTGAGTCTGTCTTTATTTATTTCAAGACATTATTATTTTTAGGATTCGAATCAATTATTCAATTAATAAAAATTATTGTTGGATATAAAAAGCCATTACGGGGCATGTACCGATTATCAAAATTACAGAAAGTAAAAGTAATAAAAGTTAACAAAAATAACCCCAAAAAAAAGAAATAGAAAAAGAAAAAGAAAAGGTATTGATTTTATTTTATAAAGTTCCAATTTATAACTTTGCCGCTCTAAACTCCTAAGAAAGAGAAATACGTTCGCTCCCTAAGCTCTGAGAGGGCAAAAAAAAAAAAAAAAAGAGCTGTTTGTGAAGTAGAGAGGCATATATCGAAGAAGATAAAAATTCCATTAACGCCCATCACTTGTAAGCACTCCTTAGTCCTTTCAATTTTTCTTTTACGTTGCAGTTTGAATGTTCTTTGTTGTTGACACTATGCACACCTGCTATTTGATAAAGTGCTTACAAGAAGTATCAGCCTCTTATGTCAACCGATACATAAAAATCAAAATTCCCAATTGTTGGTGTCCTCAGTTGCTCTGAAAAATAGCGAAAAAATTTGAGATATGAAGAAAAGATGTAATCTTTGCTAATTGTAGGTTTATTATTATTGTGTCACTTGTGTAATATCTTTTTTTATATCCTATCGGGGTTGTTACCATAACTGATTGAATTTCTATTCTTAAGGGACATTAGCATGTTCTCAAATGCTGAAAATGTGAGCACATTTCATATACTTACAATGTACAAACATTATTTAGCTTGTGTAAATTCATAGGTAGAGCCAACATTTGAAGCTTATGGGTTCAGGATTCTAAATTATAATTTGCACATGTTCCATAGATCCCTTGATAATAACAGAGTTTGAACCAAAGCTAATGGGTTGCACCGAACACGTAACCAAAGAGCTAGCTCCGCAGCTGTGTGCAATAGGTTTTGCGGGGCACATGAACTTGGTTGAGGTTCATGAATTATGCTTTATGATGGTGCTGTGACTATTTTGTGGTGCTCATTATTTGTTATGTTGTATGTTTGGTTTTGTTTTCTTTATAGTTCTGCAGTTGCCCGATATTTTATTTTGGTCATTTATTTGTTCTTGGAAGTGACAAGTCTAGAAAGAATAACCTCTATGTTCTATTAAGATTATAGTAAGATAAGTTCATGTGATGCCACAAATTTTTCAGTTGCTAGCTGTAACATGTGACTTGAGATTTGTTTACTTTGGTTGAGCTTTGTTCTCAATTTTGCTTCCTTCTTTTTATGAAGAGTTGATCTATAAGAAGCTTCATGGCTTCAAGTAGGCCACGTGGCAGCAGTTTCTCTCGAAACATATCTAGTGCAGCTACATCTCAGATTCCTGGAGTAAAGCTTGGTCCAAATGGCACATCATTTCTTTCATCAGGCATACCAGATCTTGACCGTAATTCCCACTACACCTCCTTTAATGTCTCTTTCCTTTTCTTTGTTCTCAGCATTATTATTTCTCTTTCTTTTGTTACTAGCTAGCGTTATATATATGAACTTTTTTTTTCCCATTTGCTTGTTATATTCTCTTTCCAGAGATTTTGGGAGGTGGCTTTACTTTGGGAAGCCTAGTCATGGTAATGGAAGACCCTGAGGCACCTCATCATATGCTTTTACTGAGAAATTTCATGTCTCAGGGCCTGGTTCACAAGCAACCCCTGCTTTATGCCAGCCCGGAAAGAGATCCACGAGGCTTTCTTGGAACTTTGCCTAGCCCAATGGCTTCTAAGGATGAGAAGCCTCATGAACGGCCTGCTGAACAGGTTTATACCTTTCTTTCCGACATCTTAACAAAATATTATAAATGAAACTATGGATACATGATGTTATGTTAATGTAGACCTTGTCAGTTCTAAAAAGCTGAACTTTTAATCCATTTTACATTACAGGATTCGAATTTAAGAATCGCTTGGCAATATAAGAAGTATTTGGGGGAACAGAATTCAGAGGTCCAAAGAGGTAAAACCGCTTGAAGCTGATTTGTTTCAATTCATTCACTTTTGAACTCGTACAGCTAATAATGACTATTTTTCCTCTAAAGAAGTTGGCTTCAGTTTGATACGGTAATTTTTTCCTGCGGTGTCTAAGTCAAGTTTGTTTTGAATTGGGCTGTCTTGCGAAGAGGTGACTAAAAATGTCCATGTATCATTTACTGGTTAAAGCATAAAGAAAGAGGAAATGGATCTTGTCACAAGTATGCTAAGGGCATTCTGCAATGAGATTGACTCAACAATGCCCTAGGAAATCTAGTAGATTAAATTTTATACCTCTGGTTAAGTTTTCAACCAAATGATGCCTTTTTGAAGTGCGTATTTACTATTTTGAAATTTCCTTAAAGCCACAAATAAAATGTTTCTACGCTTAAACAACTTGTAAGATTGAGTTGCAATTTCCATAGCTGTCCAGATTTTAGGTGGACATGCGACTCCAGTTATCTTCATGAAATTTACTTCTAGAAGAAAATCTTTAGGGCCATACGTTGATCATTACATTTGGTAGTGTCTGTTGATTTTTGGCTCCCTGTTTCTGTCCTACTTGACTCTTCGAAATAATATCATCCGTCATAAAGATAAAACGGCTAACAGTTTGAAGGCTTTGGTAATGCTACGAAATAATCGTTTAAAATGTGTGACAAGTCACATTTCTGTAATCAAGTACTTTGGGCAGTGTTCTTTTTGTAGTTGCCCAAAGACTTTCTATTCATTTGTTTGTAACTATGCTGTTAATTGAAAGCGAGACCTATGCTGAATCTGACGATTAGCTTGTGCATCATCATGCAGGTGGAAAAGCTGAATATTGCAATGACTTCGACGTGCGAAAGCCCCTGGAAAGGCACTTCTATAGTGGGCAGCGGGTTGATTGCATTAGTCTTCGAGATTCTCCCAATCTAGTGCCTCTACTGGAACGTTGTGCAGCCTTTTCATCTCAAATCTCAAAGTATTGTCACTCCTTCTTTCATACATTCAGTTACAGTTTTCATGTTCACTGTGTTTTATGAACCAAAAATGCAATTTATTAAGTTTCCAAATAAAGGATAAGGATATCTTTGATACATGTCTTTCAATAGGATACGAAAATGGGATATGGGTCTGCATTTGGAAGATGTAAAAAGTTGTTGGATACCATTGTGAGCCGAGGCCTGCCATAGTTATCTTAAAAGTGGTGGTATGACATAGGGATAACCTAGAGACTCTTCTGTGTGGAAACATGCATCAAGGAATTGGTAATAGGTAAAAAGGCTGGGAAAAAGGATAGAAAAATAGACAAAGTTGATTGCCTTTCCACGATAAGAATGTAATCTGACATAAGTTGGCTGGATAATCTTTCATATCATTTGATTCAAAATATCTAAAATATGGATATAGAATCACAATCCACTTTAAGCGTTTCTTAAACGCTTCTTCTTTACATTTGTGCAATTCTGATGTCTACTATAGGTATTCTGGCAATTAAAAGATCTAGCAGATACGAGTTCGAGCCTTGGGTATGGAAAAATACTTGGTAAGGAGCGCTACCCCCAAATGGGGCCCTACCCGGCGCGAATACGGCTATAGTCGGGCTCCAATGCGGGTACTGGACACCGGGTGGGAAACCAAAAAAAAAAAAAAAAGATCTAGCAGATACACAATGTCCTTCTAACCTGTAGTTTCATTATAATGTATCACTACATGGAAGCCTATTGATTATGCTTTCTTTTTCCCTTTTCAAGTAACTTTAGAGACTGAATAATATTTTTCTTATCAGTGAATAATGAAAGAACAAATAATATTGTTAATCATTCTTCTTTCAAAACATCATTACTCCATCTCAACAAAGCAAATAAACATGCATGATAAGTCATAATTAAGCTAGTGGCTTAATTGAAAAGAATTGATGATTTGCTGATAGTTTAATAAAGCATCAGACTGCTATTTTATGTCCAGTTTGGCCCCCTCCTCAATATTGCTGTTATCAGGATTATCTCTCAAATTGTTGTTTTTGTCAATTAAGGTCTGTTACCTTTTGAACGATACTTGTATGAGGATTCTTTTTGAGATTAAGTTTTTGATTACGTGGATCCTTTAGTTCTGATTAGATAGGATTGAACTGTTGAATATGTGTAAAAGTTTCTTCTAATACTCTGTCAGATCTGATGGCAACATCACATGTGCCGGTCGTATTGCCATTCAGTCACTATGTTCTCCTCAGTGCGACTTCTCTGACAAGGTTATTTTCTGGACTTTGGTTACTTGTAATCTAGTTATTCTTTAAGAAAAAATATTCTCCATTAATAACTCACCGCAGGACTAATGGCCATCAAAATCATTAGTTTTTTGTTGTTTCTAGAGAGGTGGTATTTTTTGGGGGGGTGTTAGGAAGGGCGGCATAACGGAATATACGCATGAGAAATTGTTTTTGGGCTCTTTTTGGGTTCATGTTGCCCTGTGGGACTGTTCAGTGAAAAATTTGATTCTGTACTTGCATCTCGTTGCAGGATTGGGATATGCTTTCTTTTATAAGAACCTTGAAAGGTATGATTCGATCTTCGGGTGCAGTTGCGGTCATATCTTTTCCGCCCTCACTTGTCTCACCAACCTTTTTAAAGAGATGGCAGCATCTGGCTGATACCTTGATATCTGTCAAAGCAATTCCTGGTATGCCTCCATTTAATCCATTATAGAAAGCTTCATCTCGTTCTGCTATCAAATGTGACTAAAGCTTGCTGCAGATGAGGACAAGGAGTTGGCCAAGCTCCTCACTGGTTACCAAGATATGCTGGGCCTTCTGAGTGTACACAAAGTGGCTCGCATAAATACACAGGTGAATGACCTTTTCTGCATTGACTATTAACTACAGCAGTTGATCGCGTCCTAATATTTTCTGGAATGCTTATTTTCTTTGAATGGGTAAATAAGCTAAACATTCAAATGATGTTTGGATTTTAACTTAAAAGAAACATAAACACTTTCTAAAAGCATTAATGAGTCGATAAAATGCATGTTGTTCTTTGCTCTCTTCTTTCCTTATCTAACCCTCAAAAGCATAATTAATTTACATGAACCTTATCAGAAATGATAGAGAGAAATACCGGTAAAGTGGAGTTTGATGATAATTAACAGACTTGTTTTGGAACATCAAAAGTGCAACCAATCATCCTTGGGGGAAGCGATACTATTTCTAAATTCTGTGTTATTTGCTGTTATTTTCTGTCTATCGAATTTATTGCGTAAGTTGATGCGAAACTTTTAACAGGTCCCTGCAATTCTGGAAGCCACAACATTCTCAATAAAGCTGCGAAAGCGAAGGGCATTGATTTTAGAATGCCTTAATCAAGCCCCTGTTGATGGTTCAAGTGGAAGTTCATATGGTACTTCTAGTAGTTGTTCTGGAAGTTCTAAGACAGGGAACCTTGACTTCTAGATGATATTAAGCGCGTTTGCTTCAATTTGTCACAACCTAAGTCATGCTCCTGTAATTGCTGGATTTGCTGGTTCAAACTTTGTCACTGTCAGTTGCAAGCTGCAATCAGGGGTCGGATGGAAGCTGGATTTAGCATACATTCTTACAATTCCGAATTTTGTTGATGAAAGCCGGTCAAGAGGAGGAATGCCAGGACGGATAGTTCTACTCACTGTATCATAATGTTCTACAGTTGCATCAATTTACAATTATGAGCTGGACTTGTTAGGCTGTGCTAATTGAGTACATTATGTTTATCCTTACGATCAAATATTTAGGAAATTGTATTGAAGGATATGCATTACAGTTAAACTTATCTTGAGTCAGCTTTCTTAATTCCTGAATTTCAATAATGACTAGAATCAGCATAATTTAATTTAGCTATTTCATTGGGATTGCCATCAGTGTGATGAGTTTGGATTCAATGATAGCAACTCAAAGGCTGAACTCATAAAATTTAAATTTTGGCTATGTCTTTGACGACCCCTTGATCAAGTTTATTGCACAGTTTTTTTGTAACATATGATTAATCTCATTGATACTAAACCTCCATCCTATAGAGAGGTAACACAAGCGAATGGTTTGACTGCATTGAAGATAAACGATCCTCAATATAATTTCCAATATTTGAGAAGCTACTCTTAATTCATCATATAATTTTCACAAGAAGAAATCAAACTCATCAGTTTTGCGCCCAAAACATCATAAAATACTAGAGTTAGACGAAGCAAAACTCCTAATCATTCTGTTTTAAGAGTCTTGGCAACGTCAATGACAAAACGGTACTTAACATCACCTTTAGCGAGACGCTCCAATGCAGTATTTACATAATCCATTGGAATGACTTCAACTTCTGCTGTTATATTGTGTTTTGCAGCAAAATCAAGCATTTCTTGTGTCTCTTTCATCCCTCCTATCCCACTTCCAGCTACAAGCTTCCTCCCTGTCATTATATGTAGTAACTCTCAACTTATACATTTGTAGGAGCTAAAAAAGAGTTTAAATATGAGACAGTAATTACTCTAAAATCTTGATAAAATATAATCCACTTACCCATAAGTAATGGAAAGACAGGTAGCTCGACGGGTTTTTCAGGTGCACCAAGAAATATAAGCTTCCCATGAGACTTCAATAGCCCAATCAATGGATGTATGGGATGATCTGCGGAGACTGTGTCAAGAATGCCATCCATTGTGCCCATAGCAGCCTATGGATATAGGAAACAATGTCAAGAACCAAAATGTTATTCAATGACAACAGATGCTTGAAGTAAAGATTTCAAGATTACAAGTAATTACCTGCAGCTGATCCTCATCCGTGCTGACCAAAAACGAATCAGCACTGAGGCGCTCAAGAGCTTCCTTCTGTTTATTTCGAGATGTACTAATTACTGTCACCTTTAGCCCCATGGCTTTGGCAAACTTGACACCAACATGACCAAGTCCACCTAGACCTACTACACCAATGTGAAGGCCTGGTTTGTCTAGTCCAAAGTATCTCAACGGACTGTACATTGTAATTCCAGCACAAAGAAGAGGGGCTGCAGTAGCTAGGGGCAAGTTTTCTGGGACATGAAAGACGAAATGTTCATCGACAACAATCATGTTCGAGTAGCCTCCATACGTTGGTGTTCCGTCATGGTAGATTGCATTGTAGGTGGCTATTCCCTTGGAACAATAATTTTCAAGATTGTTGGTGCAGTTTTCACAAGATCGACATGATCCACAATACCCTCCCACAGCAACTTTATCCCCGGCTTTGAACTTCTCTACCTTGATACCAACCTCAGTTACTTCACCCACGATCTCATGTCTGAATCCATCAAATAACTATAAGGGGTCGTTTGGTATGATGGATAAGTAAAAGTACTAATCCTTAGATAAGTTATTCTAGGATTAAAAATAGCACCAGAATAACTTATACCTGCCAAAGGGTGGAATAATAATCCCAGGATAAGTTATCCCATGATAAAACAATAAAAATAACAATCCCAGGAATGATTCAATATAGTACCAGCTAGTCAATAAGAAATAATACCAGGATAACTAATCCCATCATAACTAATCTCATTGTAACTAATCCCAACATTAAAGTTTAGACAAATGACTAATCTTTTTCATGTAAGTGTAAATGACACCTTACTAATAATCAAGAATCTAAAATTGAGACCATACCCAGGGACCAGAGGATATAGAGAAGATCCCCATTCATTCTTCAACTGATGAATATCAGAGTGACAGATACCACAGTAAAGAAGCTTCAATTTAACATCCTTGTCACCAGTTGCCCTGCAAACATCATTTGAAAACAAAAGATTACAAACATTAATCAAGATGATCAAAACAAAATCTTGTCTTTGTTACAAAATAACTTCATAGATAAACTCAAGTGTATCACTTATTTTCCGAAGAGGGTTCTCTCCGCATGAAGGAGAGCCTTGGTGTAACTGTTAAAGTTGTTGTCATGTGACTAGGAGGTCACGAGTTCGAATCGTGGAAACAGACTCTTGCAAAAATGCAAGGTAAGGCTGCGTATAATAAACCCTTGTGATTCGGCCATTCCCCGCACCTTAACAGAGTCGGACCCAGGATTTTAACGTGAGAGGGGCACCATTATTTTGCTCGACCAATGCCCCCTAAAGACTTAGTGTTCATGAGGGTGCCAAGTTATTTATATAATCATTTTCAAGATATACACATAAACATATACAAGATTTTTGCCGAAGTTTGCGGGGTCCGGTGACCCCTCAACACTATACATAGGTCCGCCTCTTACCTCACGCATAGCAGGAGCTTAGTGCACCAGACTGCCTTTTTAGGGTTCTCTCGCATGAGATTGTTTAAATGGATGTCGTGGTTTGACCAAGTGAACTACAAGCTAAGGCAACAATTTTCCATGATTTTGAGAGGAATGCTCAAACTTGCGAAGTGAAGTTTTTTCTCCGTTTACTCCCAGTCGCATGAGCTATAGTGAAGCTATACTCACACTCCGAGTAAATTTCATGGGTGACCATTTAACTTTGTGTTCATTATCCAAAATTTACTCTTTTTTTGTTACTTAAATGATTCAACTATGCGTTTATTACCCAAAGTCACTTTTCTTTTTTTTGTTACACAAAAATTATTTTACTTTGCTCTATTTATCATAAAATAGAGCAATGGAAGGTTCTTTAAATGTAAGTGATAATGCATATAGAGAAGACGATTATGTGAACGCACGACGATATTATTGAACAACACATCCAAAAGGTTAGAGAATAACTCAATCTTGACTATGTATTGGATGATTTGACCTTGATATGATTATCCTGAATCCGATGACAAGTTGAAGACATTCTAAATCAGTTCAACACAAGTTAAGATACAGAGTAACAGAGATTTGAGAGTATATCAATATTCCCTCATATAGTATTTAAAAAAATAATAATAAATATATTATATAAATAAAAGTACCTTCTGGAGAATTTGAAGGAGGAGAGGAAACCAGAAGTGTCTCTAGCAGCCCAACCAAATGCCATAACTGGGTGCAATTCCTCTGGTGATTTCTCCATATCCCAATTCTTGAATTTTTTACTAACTCAAAGATAATTCAATTTCACTGCACAATTCTGCTACAAATATAACTATAAGGTATTATTATTTGGTGGTGTAACTATAGCAATGAGAAGGAAAAGTGTAAATTTAATTGTTATAAGCATTTGGCAATAGTTAGAGAACAAAATTCTTTGAAATTTTGATTTGCTTCCTGCCATAGTTGCCAATACGGACTGGAGTTAAAAAAGTGTTTTTATTTTTGAATGGACCTTAGACACAACATATTGGCCTTCATAATTGACGTTCCGTTTATTTTAAGAATTATTTGAGACACCAAAAAATGGTTGACAAATTTCTGTTTTTAAAATCACTAACTCAATATACTCACTATATTCTACTCTTTCTCTTATAATAATAATA